GTGTGTGTGTAGGAGTGGGGGGCCAGCCAGCAGGGCTTGGGACAGCTACCTTTCCAGGCCACATCCCCGATCCATTTCTTTTCCTGAGTCTCTTCAGCCCAGGTTCAGGGAACAGAAGACAGTTTAGGGCCACAATGTACCACCTTCCTCATAGCTTTACATATTTCCATCTTTATTTGAGAGCCAAAATACACTGAAACTTGACCCTTGTTCATTACTCATACCTTCTGGTAGCTGACTACTGGGCAATGACCCAAAAGGAAACCGAAATTCTCTGATACCTGGAGCCCTAAGGTTTGAAGAGCCTTAATCATGGCCTTGGCTCCCTAAGTCTGAGGCTCATCCTCCCAAAATCATCACTGGGCAACTCCAGACCTGAAGAGGTCCCCCCAAAATACCCAAGCTCAGCTAGACCCAAAGCAGGTGAGTGGCTTTTCCATAGTTACACAGCTAGTAGATGACAGAATTGAGACTAGCTAGAGGAGACATGGAACTGGACATCCAAGGACCAGAGCTTTGCCCCTACCTTGGGTGGGTAGATAGTGGAGGAAGCAGTAAGCCTATGTACCTTTTCCATGTAGGCATGACCAGTGAGGGGCTCACGGGACCAAGAGCTGCTGCTAAGTAAACTTATGTATAGAACAGTGAGAGAGGAGGAACTGGAGCATCTCCATTGGCCATAAGTTCCTTCTTTCCAGTTGCTCACAGAATCTCAAGTTAGATTTATCTCCTTCCCTGGTTTGAATCCTCTTCCCAGCATTCCCAATAGCGGGTTGCTAACCAGGTGCTTATACATCCCTAGTGACAGGGAACTCACTATGCAGACAGGGTTGGCCACTTTCATGGTCAGCCTCTGGATTTCTAGGCTTCCTGAGAACATGAGATAATGATGATACAAACAGGCTGAAATTTCTAAAGGTAAACAGGCCAGGCCTCTCCTTTATATACTCCCTTCATCCCAGTAGGGGCTGTCCAATCTGTATGTGCTGGATAGCTTTAGTGTCAACTTGACACACCTGGGTTGAGGGAGCCTCAACTGGGGAATTGCCTCCATAGGACTGGCCTGCCGCATGTCTGTGTGGCATCTTCTTGATTGTTGAGTGATGGGGGAGAGCCCAGCCCACTGTAGGTGGTGCCACCCCTGGGCAGGTGGGCCCGTATTGCATAAGAAAGCAGGCTGAGCAGGGGCCAGGAAGCCAAGTCAGTAAGCAGCAATCCTCCATGGCCTGTGCTCCAGTTCCTGCCTCTAGGTTCCTGGCCTGAGTTCCTACCCTGGGCTCCCTGATGAACTGTGGCCTGGGAGATGTAAGACAAATAAACCCTTTCCTCCCCAAGTTGGTAGTGGTCAGAGTGTTTTGTTACAGCAATGGAGAAACAAGCTAGAACACTGTATTTCTCAAAACACATAGTCGTCCGCTAGGCACAGGGTAGCAGACCAAAGTAAATATAAACCACAACCTCCTTTGTCCTGGAGGCATCTCTGATCTCATGAGTTGAAAGGTAGTTTGGTTATACCATTCATACTTCTTTTTAAAAAAATATTTTTTATTAAATTTTTTTTTTTTTTTAAATAGGTGGCTGGAGAGACGGCTTAGCACTGGCTGCTCTTGAAGAGGACCCAGGTTTGATTCTCAGCTAACAACCATCTGTAATTCTAGTTCCAAGGGATCTAAAACCCTCTTCTGACCTCCTCAGGCATTTCATGGCATGGGTGCACAGACCTACATGCAAGCAATACTTTCATACACATAAAAGTATAAAAATAATAAATATTTTTTAAAAATTTAAAAATAAATATAGAGAAGGTATGTATCCTTATTGCTTTATTTATTACTTTATGTGTAGGAGTGTTTTGCCTGCATGTGTGTAAGTGTCCCCATGTTGTGCAATGCCCACAGAGGCCAGAATAGGACATCGGATTCCCTAGAACTGTAGGTATAGACAGTTGTTAGCTACCATGTGGGTGCTGGGAACCAAACCCAGGTCCTCTGTGAGAGTAGCCAGTACTCTCTTAGCCATTGAGCCATTGCATCAGCCATCCCCCCCATTCATTCTTTATTTCTTTTGTTCGTTGTCTGATTTTTAGACAGGATCTTGTGTAACCCAGACTAACCTCAAATTTTCTGAATAGTCTGGGCTGTCCTGGACCTCCTTATCCTCCTACCTCTACCTTCCAAGTACTGGGATTGTAGGCATGTGCCACCATTCCCTGTTTGTTTTTATTTTTTAAGGTCTTGCTCTGGCCTAGTGCTCACTATGTAACCCTGATTGGCCCGGAACTTGTAGTAATACTCTTGCCTCAGCCTCCTGGGTACTGATGTTACAGGTATGAGCTACAATGCCCTGCTCTTCTTTTGGAATTTATTTCTATACCAACTCAAGGTGCACTCTGAGATATTGGTAATGTGCCTGATGAGATGCAAGAGAGAGAGAGTGAGACACATCATGGACCTAGCATGTGGTGTGTTGAAATACACAGGTGTATGTGTGTGTCCATGTCCACAGGATCATGGGCCCCCAGACTTCTACCCTCACCATAAGTAGAACTGAATCTCTAGCAGCTCCCTGCTTCCTTCCAGAGAACAGCTACAACAGGCGCCTCTGTCCCAACAGTCTTGCTAGTTCTTTCCTTGTAGGACCTTATTTCCCTTTGTCTTCCCTCCGGTTGCTAAGATTACAGAAACCTGCCAACAACAGAGCTTCTTGGTTCTCAAAATTCTCTATTTCATTTGATCCCCACAAAATCTTGCAAAGTGAGTAGCAGCTGGCACATTCCTCATTCTATAGATGGATCAAGAAAGGCCATGGGAAGCTAGGGGAAGGCTAGGTAAACAAGTGGCCCAAGAGGCCTGACCACCCCACCCCTTTCACCTTTTCCCTCTGTGTTCAGGTACTTCTTGATTGCCCCAAACCTCATCTCACAAGGTGGGTCACCACAACTCCTAGGTTTCAAGGGAATTATAACTCAATGATATGCAATGTAGTAGTCCCCAGAGACACTTTTTATTTTTGAGACAAGAGGTACATGTATCCTAGGCTGGCCTCAAACTTGCCATATAGCCAAGGATGACCTTGAATTGCTGGTCCTCCTACTTCTATCTCCAAAATGCTGGGATGATAGCCTGTATCACCATACCCAGCTTCCAGACACTTAAAAAATAGTTATATTGTTCTTACTTCCCTCAAAACTCCTCTGCCCAGCCTGGTTCAAGATACCTTTTTTTTTTTTTTTTTTTCAGCATATAAAAATGTATTACTACTGTGTTTCCATCATCAACATTTAGGATCTTGGTCTTTCCTTCTTGCCTTTGTATAGGGCCAAAAGACAGACACTGGCTACTTTAGCAATCTTAAAGCAGACTCCAGGAATATCACCAACTGCATGACCTTTCTGACCAAATCCATCAACCAGGGCTTCATCGTTTTCCTCAATGAAGTTCAGGCAACCATCACTGGGCACAAAGGCTGTGATTTTCTTGCCATTCTTGATGAGCTGGACCCTGACACACTTCCTGATAGTCGAATTTGGCTGTTTCACTTCAACCCCTACTTTTCCCAGCACGATTCCCTTGGCGTGAGTAGCACCTCCAAATGGGTTGCCTTTAAGGGCTGTGCCTAAATGGGTTTTCTTGTACTGTTTATCATGCCATTTCTGGTCCCGTCGGTGACTACGCAGCTTTCTGGAAGTACGCAGACCACAACACTTGCCCATGCTGCCAGTGCCTCAGACCCCTGGTCCAAGATACCTTAAATGACAATCCTAGAGTATGGTTCTTGCCTTCCACACACCTGTACATGGAGAGGTGTACAGCACAAGTTTATGGATGACATCCTCCCCTTCACCCTATACACACTTGCTTGCACACAGAAGGTACATATACACCAAACACATATATAAATACTCAAAATGGGGAAAGACTTAGAGGCTGAGATTCTGAGTCTGGATTTAACCAGCCTAATCTGGGGAGTCCCTGAATAACCATGAATAGGCATCTTTAATGTTTGCTTTGCTTGTGAAATGATTACACAATCACTTGCTGGTAGAAGAGCTCTGAGGCTGAACACTTTTCATGAACTTGAACTGCCCTGGGGCCTTGTCAACCTGATGTCTTAGAGAGCTGATGAGACTCAGAAAAGGTTGCATATATGCAGTACAGGCATTTGAACCCACACCTTTTTCCCCTGCATGCTAGGAAAGCACCATACCACTGAGCTATCCCTCCAGTGCAAAAGGCCTGCTTTTATTTATTTAATTTTATTATTATTTTTAAATCTCAGATCTGGTTTCATGGAACTAGGTGCCTTTGGGAAAGTCCCTTCCTCTCTGGGCCTCCTTTTTTTCCATCTGTCAAAGGAGAGGGTTGGGCTAGAAGACTCAAGGTCTACTTCTCTCTCCTACATCCTGGGTGTCAGGATGGCCTCCTCACAGACCTGCAGTGGGAGGGACTCTTCCCAAGAAGGATGGAGCCTGAAGGGCCCTGACACATAAAGTACCTGACTGAGTAGGGGTCTGGATGCCCTAGGGCGCAGGGCAAGGGTACTGGGTGAACAACCAAGCCATAGTCAGTAGTTAAGATGCTAGAGGGATCATTCACAAGGGATACAGGCTAAAGGCAAAATGTTCCTTCTGTATCCTGGGGTCAACCTGACAGAATGCTGGGATAAATAGTCAAGTGAAAGTACTTTCTAATTCCTGGTGCTACACACTGTGACGCCAGGAGCCTCACTCCATCCGAGCTCCTCCATGTGGTAGGAGAAGGCAGGGCCGCAACGGTGCGAGACAATGAGCCGCTTTGGTAGCATGGCCTGACCAGATCCCTTCAGGAACCCTGCCCTCAATCACCTCTCTTTGATGCCTAGACCATCTCAGACCTGGCTATGCACACCCTTTTCCCCAGGGTATCTGTTGTGCCCCCAACCGTGCCGTGGGCAGTGGGGGTGACCAGGCGGCCCCGATTGACACCCACTCCACAGGACCGCTCCCGAGACCCGCATGTTACCCAGAACTTGGAGGCGAGCTCCCCGGAGCTGCACAGGGAGTCCATATGGCCGAGGCGCAGAGGTGCACGGTGAGGAAGGCGATCTGGTTGGCTCAGCCCCTGGCAAAGCTTCTTCGGGAGCCGCCTCCCGCCTCCCGACTCCACCAGTGCTCCGCCCCGCCCAGCCCAGCTAAGCCTTACCCTTAGGCCCTAAGGTCGGCTCTCAGGTCCCAGCGATTGTTGAGGTAGTTAGGTGATTGCTACAGAGCCTTGGCAAAACTTCCAGGCTGGAAGGGACATCAGGGTGAAGGGTCATGCCAATCTCTTGCAGTAGCCCCTGAGCTATGTGATGGAAATGTCCCTTTAGACTCTGAAGCTGATGGACATGGGGCTGAGTCTGTTTTCCAGGGCACGGGAGAGGGAAGAGACCAGTTGCATCACACACACACCCTTTCCAAGACTGATGAGTCATGAAGACTCAGCGAGGGATTTAGCAATCCTCTCACTGTAAAGGAGATCCTTTATAAGGGCAGGATCATCTCTGGACCCCAAGTTTCCCATCTGTAGTATTAGAAGCACTCATGAGCCCAATTTCCCTCTTCTACCTACAAGTTACCAGAGAGACAACTGGCAGACACCAACATGTGTATGTGTTGTGTGCATGTGTGTACAGGAGAGTGAGGCATGAAGCAGGTCCCAATACAAATGCATGGTGTATAGCTTGCCCACCGTCCTCTTAAATTGCTGCCTTCTAAGGCTCTAAGGCCTCCCTGGTCTTACTCAGGGCTCTTCTGAGCCTCCAATTTTGATTGGCAAAATGTAGATACTCAGAATCCTCTTCACTGAGTTTCCTGAACGTTCAGTGGAAAAGTGTATAAAGCATATTTGTTGCCTGCAACCCTCTAGATACCCAACATGTGTTAATTCTACTTCAGCCTGGCCATGGTGAGGATGGGCAGTGAGCCCACAGAAAGCTCCATATTAGCACCCTCATCCTAAGACTGAGCCTCCACATTCCCCATCTGTAAAATAGGCTTGGGGTCAGGGGCCTTCTGCTTGTTCCAGCCTGACTGTGTTGGGATCCCTCCATCTCTCACTGCTCCTTAATAGGGTCCCAACTTACCACTCCTTCCTGAGCTGAGCAGGAATCCTCCAGGGTGGGTCTTTCTCTGGCCCCACTCCTCCACTCTTGTCTCTGGCCTGCAAACTCATGGGGCTGGGGGTGTTATTTGGCAAGGCTATCCTTGGCACTTGTTCTCAGGAAAGGGTGTTTCTATCTACCAAGGCGCAGCATAGAGAGGGAGGACTGTGCAGAAGTGGCCATTTCCGGTCCCTCTGGGCAGGCAAGAAGTTACTGGAAGTCTGGGCTATCAGAATAGAAGTGAGCCAGTGAGGTGAGATAGACTAGGGTGGACAAGGTTCCCTATTCCTAGGCAGTTGGCCTGGGACCTGTACCACTCTATTCTGCAAATCCTCTCAGCCCTCCCATTTGTGTCCTCTTCCCCTTTTCTCTCCTACCCTGTTCTCCCCCGACCCTCTCTCTGGGCAAAAGACTTTATAGAGCCTTCACATCTTATCACAGTGTGGCTTGGGTTATATTTAGTTGTGAAGAATCTGTCTTCCTTGCCAGTCTGAGAGGTCCCCAAAGGCAGTGACTGAGTGAGTCACCTCCAGTCCCCCTCCATACCTCAGGTAGTAACTTTTGGACACTGAGTGACCTCAAGAGCCTCTGTGACCAAGTCTTGGGATAGGTGAACAAAGTGCCATTGAAGCTCTCCTCCAGCCCTGGTGGTCTAGGCATCTAGGAGCTGAGCAGTTGAAAATCACCCTCCAAGTCTTCCATTCATCATGGATATGACTTTCTCTGCACCCCTGCCCTGCATTTTACTCTTGGCTTTCTCTCTTAGAGATAGCCACAGATAAAGGTGAAAAGCTGGCTCTGGGTTTGGGGAGACTAAGGGACCTTCCCTTGGGGAAGGGACCTTCTCCTTGGGGCCCTTTAGGAGATGAGCTCTTCCAGAAGACCCCTTTCCTAGGAAGGAGAGTCCAGGCCCAGCCTGGTTCCCTGGAACCTCCCAGCTCAAGGTCAGCATTGAGTTCACTGGTTAGACTGCTGATTTGAGGTCAGGCGTCTGGCTTCAGCACTAGAGTAAAGCACCATCTCCCATGGCCCCAGCCTTTTCATCTTGCCTTGCCTTCCCTGGTCTGTTTACGTTGCGAGACTCCAAGACTAAGGTGGGATCCTCAGCAATCCTTGCCTTCCCCCGTCTCTTGAAGTGTTGGGGGTTCATTCCTCCTGGCCACTCATGAAATATGGCCTCTTTCACACAGTCCTTTAAGAACAAGCACAGTATTTGTAGGAAATTATTGTTTTGGTCATTTTCCTCACAAGAGCAAGAAATTGCAGCCCTTTCTGACATAGTATAGTTTGCCCAGGGCCTCAGAGTTTCTCCTGGGACAGGCAGGGAGAGCCCACATCTTCTGCATGCCAAGCAGCCCCTTGGACAAGATGCATTTTCTAGATCCTTGGCTATTGCTCCCTTCCCTGAATCCACCTTGCAGGTTACTCCAAAGACTCTCCCCTAACCTCCTTCCCTCCCTCCCTGCACCTGTCAAACTCTATTTATCCTTCAAGATTTCTCTCAATGCTGGGCATGGGCTATGCCCATGAGTATATACCTATATTCTCAGCATTTGGGAAGTAGGGGTGAAAGATCAGAAGTTCAAGGCCAGCCTCAGCTACATAGAGAGTTTGAAACCAATCTAGCACATCTATGTGAAAGTCTGTCTGAAAAAAAATCCTTCCCTATATCATAACCTCTGCTTTCCCAGAAGATAGTGGACACCGAGCACAGAGACTGAATCTTATTATCATTGTATTTCTCAGCACCCAAGGCAGTGCTTGGCCAAGTCCTCAGGAAGTGTTTGTGGACTCATTAAACAGTTACTCCATTTCCTAAAAAGAAGTTGTAGGTAGCAAACCCATTGGAACCCGAGGAACAGACCTGGCACTGAGCAGCGTTCACTCTGCTTTTGAGTTTTCAGAACCAAGATGTTTCTAGCCAAAAGGCGCTGAGAGGAGTGACAAAGGCCTTTTGGTTTGGGCTGAGGCAGAGGGAGGGGTGGCCCACCCTCCCTTTCTACCCGGCTGCATGGGTGGTACATATGCTTTTCCTTCTTCACCTGTGAGCATCACGTCGTGGCAGCCAAGCGCCAGGGATTTCCCGGCAAGAAAATGATAAGAAAAAAAAAATCATTGTAAATGCAGCTCAAAGCAGGTGTGACAGCAGAGAGAGAAAGCAGGGTGAAGGGGACAGGGAGAACTGGGTACAGGAAATGCTGTCTTGGGGTAGGGCAGGTTGGAGCTGATAAAAGGGAGAGTGTAAGAAAAGCAACACCGCCCTTCACTGCCTGGTTCTTTTTAAGAACCTTGAAGGCCAGGAATACCCCTAAATTACGCTTCAGCTTCCACGTCCTGCCTCCCACTCTGGCCTTCCAAGTGGTCTATTCCAGCTATATTCACCTTGTTGGAGTCACCTGGTCCCCTCCCAGTCTCAGCGAGGCTGCTCTTCCCCAGTCTGTTCCTCCATCCAATTGGCGTGCATGCAAGGGCTTGCCTGCTGCACCAGTTTTCTTTTCTTTTTTTCTTGTCTTTTTGAGACAGGGTCTCCTTGTAGCCCCAGCTGCCCTGAAACTTGCTATGTAAACCAGGGCTGTCCTCGAACTCACAGATTTGCCTGCCTCTGCCAGTGCCTCCCAAGTGCTGGGATTAAAGGCATGCGCCATCACATCCAGCTACACTAGAGTTTTCAAAGCAAGAATTAATGGGTTCTGAGGGCCACAGCTATAGCTCTCATACCTAGTTGGAGACTAAGGCATGAAGAGTGTAGAGTTCTTAGCAGAATTCCCTCCTGGAGTTTCCTGGGACAGCAGGCTCCTTGACCCACCTTGCCCTGCCTCAGAGGGGGCACCAGTCCACAACTAAACTTGCTTTAAGAGTTAAGTCCCCTCCCAACAACGTCACCTATGCTTGGGATTAGTCTATTGGCCTTAGGGACTGTCACTGGCACCAGGGGTTCAGCACTCAGGTGGTACATTCCTGTCTGGGCTTCTCGGCATGTTAGTTCTTTACTGTAAACCTGATTCCCTGAGGGTTATGCAGCACTCCTATCTGTGGAAGGTCTCTTTCAGGTTGGTGTCCTCTCCCTGGCTTGATTCCTCTGCAGAAGGGACCCTGGCTAGCACTAATTTCAGAGTTCCTTGTGCTGCCATCTGGTGCCTAATGCCCTCACTGTGTCAATATTATGGGGGTGGGGTAGGTTGGCCACTCAGCTGGTCAAGAGGCCATAAGGCACCAGATTGTGATGGGTGGGGACTGAGGGTGAAGGTAGCACTGAAGCCTATTTGGAAAGTGGGTGGGGCCTGGGTGGAGGACAGGAAGGGGAAAAGGGCAGCGTCAATGGTAGAAGGGGAGAGCAGGTGCCAGGGTTTCAAGGGCAGGGCCACACTAGGGAAAGGTGTTGCCTGGAAACCTGGAATGATGGCAGAACCAATATGAACTTCCGGTAGCTCCTGGGTAGCGCCTGGAGCTGAGGGTCATCTTCACTGTTGTGGCTGGTATCAGGTGAAGGCCCATATCTCACCAGCTGAGGTACTGTGGACCCCTCGAAGCCACACAGCACACCACATGGGAAACGTGTACATTTCTAGAAACAGATATTTTCTGCTTTGAGAAAGGGTCGCTATCCCCCTTGTAAACTCTTTTCTTTTGTAAGCATGACTCTTCCCATTATGCCCCATTCCCTCCATAATGAGAATAGACTGGGGTGATGTGAGCTGAAAGATCACCAGACCTGGAGTCAAATCCCAACTGCCAAGTTGTAGCTGTGTGACCTTGGGCAAGTCCCTTAACCTGTATGAACCCATTGCTGCCTAGAAAAATACTAGCCCCGGTGTTGCCCTTGCTCAAGCATTTGGAGGAGTGAGTGAGAGACTGCATGTGAGCCTCAGGTTTGTTTTTAGCACCGGCTCCGATCACTCCTCTTCCCAGTTCCCCACCCCCAGACAGGCCTTTTCCTGGAGCCTTGGGGGTGGAGGAAGCAGAAGCATCCAAGCCTGAGGTGGGGCCTGATTCTCTTGACATAATTCCCCCTTTGAACTCCCAGCAAGAAGACTGAGGGCAAAGCACCCAGGGAGATAGATGCTCTTGTTTCTAAAAGCCCCCACATTTCTGAAACCCCTGGGCAGTTCTGAGCCTACCTTAGAGGCCCTAAAAGAAGGCCTGCTGTCTCTCTCAGCCTCCTCCTCCCACAAGATCACCAGACCAGCATCGGCTATTGTTCAAAGACTCAGCAGCAGCCCTATTTCCACTTTCAAACCATTGCAATGAGATACAGCAGTTTCTTTCTATCATGGATGAAGGTGGGTCGTGTTGTTGCTTTTGTTTTGAGACAGGAGATATTGTGTAGCCCAGGCTGGTCTTGAACTCATTACGTATCGGAGGATGACTCTGAAATCCTGACCCTCTTACAATACCTCTCATGTGTCGAGATTCCAGACATGAACCAACATTCCTGACTGATAGACTTTACACTGTTGGGAGAGTGGACACGATATTCTCCCCCTAAATATCCACCTTGATTCTGCTATTACTATGCCCACAGCACCACCCAGATGTGCCTGTAGGCACTGCCTCATGCCGAGAACCTCTCTGGTCACCAACGGTGTGTGTGCTGGGAGGAGCCTTTTCCTTCTCACAGATCTCTGGAAGCAACCCCAAAGCATACTTAGTATGCTTCCAACCAAGCTTCCTTAGCCCCTACTGGGAAGAGAGGACCAGGGGAAGGGAACCCTAGAAAGAACTGGGCATGCTAAGCATTACCCTAAATAACACTGCAGTGTTATAGCACTGGTGCATATTCACAGAGGCAGGGTGGGTGAAGAGGGAGGATGAGTGAGGGGAGGGGCCAGCAGTCTAGTTCTCTGATTTCTCTTGACCCCAAATCCTCCAACCACTAAAAGAAGAAAAGATTCCAGAACCCCCTCCCCAAGCCTCCCACCCTCAGGGAACAGACAGCCCCAGAATTCTACAAAAATATAAAAGCTTTATCTACAGATCCAGGTGGCAAAACTCTAGGAATTTTGTGCAGCTTTGCTTAAAAAAAAAAAAAAAAACCAGCTCCTACAAGCACCCTCCTTTCCAGCTGAGAGGGCCAGAGGAATCAGAGCTTGGCACTATCACATACCCTAGGAAGATCAAACCAGGTGTTTGCTACAATGAGTGGTATCATTTCTGTCCAAAAGAGCAATTAGAAAAGCTCTCCCATCTTAGGAAATACAGGCTGGACAACCAACGCCTGCAGGTCCAGCCGCCCCACAACCTGGCACTCTGGGCTTCCAGCTACCTGTGCAGATGGGGGTGGTGGGTAAGGGCTGCTGTTGAGGTTTCAAGAATCCAGTCCAGGGCTGGGAGTGTAGCTCAGTGGTAGAGTGTTTGCCTTGAATGCATACAAACCCTAGGTTCGATCCCCATCTCTCTCTCTCCTCTCTCTCTCTCTCTCTCTCTCTCTCTCTCTCTCACACACACACACACACACAGACACGCCCACACATCCAATGCTAGTTTGAGAGGGAAGGGATGTTCAAGGGTATGGAAATGGGGCAAGTGTTTGAGGGTAGTTGACAGGCGACAGTCTGGCTGAGTCCATGGTCACTCCCTCTTGGCACAAGGGTTTTAGACAAGAGACTACTAGCACCAGAAAGATGGTTCTGAGCCAGGTGGCTCTCCCTGCCCTTATACCCCTGCCCTGGTAGCCACCTTCCCCTCTCCCCCTCCTCTAGCTCCCTCCCACTGGGCAGGCAGCAGCAGACCGTGTAAGTACTTTGGTGATGTCATTCATCACACCTCAGGGAATCAGCTCCGTGCTCAGCATTCTGGCCATTACCAATCCTGCAACTCCACCAGGAAGGCACCTCTGGACTCCAGCCCTGCTCCCTGCAATCTCATCCTGTGGAGGGGGCAACCTGCTCTGTTTATACAGCTTAATCTCATTGCCAGCAGGCAGGTGGACTAGGCCCAAAGTGAAAGGCTTTAGTCCAGACCCCTCCAGTCACCACCCAGCCTTAGTGTGGCAAATCCCAGGGTAGAAAGTAGAGGCAGAAAAAACCCCAGAAGCGCCTGCCCCTCCCCCACCGCCCCTAGATTCAGATCTGCAGCAGCTGAGGCTGTCTCCCAGCTTCCATCAGCCCCATTAACCAAAACAGCTTCATTATGCCAATTTCCAGCTTTCAATGTGCGGCTGATAGCTGTCAGCAGAAATAAGAGTTAATCTGGAATTACTCACATTCTCTGAGCTGTTTGGCTCAGAGCTGCGATAAAGCTTAGATACAAAAGCAGGTTCTCTTCTCCCCATACCGGCAGCGAGCGTGCAAGGATGTAGCCCTCCAGGGCTGGGCATTTGAGTTCTCCCACTCTCAAACACACAACATGTGTGCATACACACATACTCAACACATACACTACACTAAACACACACACCACACATACACTCAACACATGCTCAGTACACACATTCAACACACACAACACACATTCAACACACACACTCAATACACATTCAACACACACAGATTCAACACAACATACACTCCATACACACATTCAACACATGCATTCAACATACACACACACTCAATACCCACACACAGGCAGCCCTGAACCTTCCCTCCCCACCACCCACTCCCATCTCCACACTCTTCAGAACCATCTGGACACACCTACCTCTCCATCCCCCTTGCTTTTACTCTGGACTGTGATTAACTTTTTATTTTGGAAAATTACTTTATTTTATATAGATATATAGATATATAGATATGTATGTATATATATATAAAAAGATTCCATTTCATTTGTAAAATCTCATTTTTTTTCTTTTTTTCCTTTTTCTTTTTTTTTTCCCCTACAGAAAATGATGACGAGATCAAAGGAGAAAATAAGTTACATGACAGTTTCCAAAATGGTTCTCACTTTCCACTGAAGACGGGTCACCGTCGGGGCTATAATGCACTCGAGGCCCTAGCTTGTGCTTTACAAGAAGAGGGAATATAACTAGACTGGTTATTTTAGGTTAAAATAGCCAAGAGACAGACGCCTTCGCCTCAAAAATATTCTGAGACACATAAAAGTAGAAGGAAACAAGTCTCTTCAGTCACAAAATGTCGTACATCCGGCATATACTAGATTCAATTAATTTAATAAAATAGAATATACATAGAGATTCTTCACAAACGTATTGCTTTCTCCCAACAGCTCCTGGTGTCGGGAGCCTCGGCCATACTGGGCTTCTCCCTCTCTTTCTGCCCAGAGGTGGAGGTTCATTTCAGACACTCTGAAAGTCCTGCTTATGGTCCCTCAGCCATAACTGGAGGCAGGTGACCGCCTCTGTGTGTACACGGGACTTTTCAGGAATATGGCCCAGGAGGCAGAGCTAGGATCTGCACCCAGTGGAGAAAGGTGAGAAGGGAGAGTGGGTGGGACTCAGGGGTCCAGGTCTGCAGGGTCAGAGGACAAACCAGAGAGACTTAGAATATCTTTCTTTGGGGAGGGCGAGGCAGCCGAGCTGTCAAGGGGGCCGGAGGCCGAGGGATCCTTGGAATCGCTGGGTGGCGCCCTCCTCCGGAGGCAGACACCAGGGCTGGGTGGGGGCCGAGGACCCTGGCTCTCCGGGGGGTCTATAGAGATACTGGGTGGACTCAGTTTTTTCTTGGGCCGGCTCCCAGGGCCCCCAAGAGGCTGGCCTCCCAGACTTGAGGGGCTTGGACCCAGGTGGGGTTGGGAGCCGCTGTCCAGGCAGCTGACTGCTATGGTGTGTCTCCTCTGTTCATCCAGCCAGGACCCAGGCCTACGCCGGCTGCTCTGGGCCTCTACACTATAGCACTTCTTTAGGTCCCTTAGGGACAGGGGTTCTTCTGGGCTGCCAGTGGGCAGAAGGTCTCCTGAAATCCAGCTCAGCTCTGTGTCCAGCTCTAAGCTGCTTCTGGTCTCTGGAGGGTCCTTGCCCCAGCTGGGTTCCAGGCGTGGGCAAGGGGCTGGTGGGGGCATATGCTTCCAGACCTTGCTCTGGCTGTGGGAACGCTGCTGCATCTGGATGCTTGACCGTCCCCAGAAGGAGGAGGACCGGGCCAGAGGGCAGGAGAGCCCACTCACCTCTGATAGTAGGTCTTCCCGGCTACCCAGGCCTTGAATGTCCAAGGAGTCAGTCCTTATTGCTGCCTGGGGGTTAGGGGGAGGTGCAGGGCTCAATCCAGGGGTTTCTTCTCCAACATAGATTGTCTTTTGCCCCTCTGGTCAAGCTGATATCCCCCACACTCTTGCAGCTGCAAGGGCCACCCTAAGCAGGGGTGCTAATAGCTGCTCTTTTTGGGAGATGGGGGCCATAAGCAGCCTGAACTCTATGGTCCACACCTCCTCTTCAACCCCCAAACCTACCTTCTATCCTCCATGCTCCACCTCCCTACATACTCTCTGTAGACCCTGAGGCCAGGGAGTAAGAAACCATCAATTCCAGCTCTTCTCCTCAAGCTGGCCCCTTCATGCCCCAGGCTTTGGGGAGGGCAAGGCAATAATTCCCTTGGCAATACCCTTCCCAGTGGCAAGCACCCTTTACCCTTATGGACATAGGTTTTCTGTGATGAGTGCCTGACAATACACCCCAAGTAAACCCTTTTCTCTTCTGGGCTTCCTGCTGTGTCTCACACAACCACCTTGCTGCTATAACCTGTGGCTGCAGTAATCTGATGTCATCTCTTAGACTGAGCTCAGAGAACAGGAAGCTGCTTGGTGAACAAGTGTAGGGTAAGGGATCCGTGACTGATCCCCAAGTGTGTGAGGCTGAGATAATCCTCATGTATCTGTGCTCAGGGTCCATAGACATCAGCACAAAATCTCACCTGGCTCCATTACTGTCTCTCAGGGTCCCGGGAGTATGGATTCTAGAAGGCGGACCCCAGCCTTAGCCAAAAGTAAAGACACTTAAACCCTACTTCATGTCCCTCAGTTCAGCCCAAAATGTGAAGAACTGGGGGCAGTTCTGAGGCCTGGATACCACCTCTACTGGATGTCTGTTGCCCTGACAACCACTGCTCAGGGAAACAGGGAAGGGGGTGTGGCACAAACTCCAATCACTTCTGCTTCATCCATTGCTTTGTCCCTGGTACCCAGGGTTCCTGTATCATGCATACAACACATGTTTACTGGAAGAATGTGAGTGTCAACCCTGGGCATTGCCAATGGCACAGGAATTCTGCCCCCAGGTCAGGTCCAGCCATTTACACCTACTTACCTGGCGCCTGAGTGGCCTCTGAGCCAGAGGGGAGCGGCCAGGTGGGGGCAGTTTAGGGATGGTGCCCCAGGTGGGGACCTCATGAGGCTGGAGCAGGTGGGGTGTATCTTTGGGAAGTTGCAGGATGCAACTGGTATCTGCTGGTTGGGAGTGCACAGACAAGATGGATCCTGTGGGAAAGAATCAGGGAGGTATGAGGGAGAGAGAGGAGTCTTTGGGGCCTTCCTTCCAGCCTTCCTCCCCATTGGGGCCTCTACCCTCATGGCCCTGGGATGAAAGTTACTTCTCCCAGGCTTGGTATACCCTTTCAGGCCAGGTTCCCCAGAAATAAGAGAGACCTCTTTTGTTGCCTACATAGTCCCTAGCCAGAACTCGTCTTAGGTGAGGTTGGGTCTCCCTGTATGGGCTACACAGGTTTGCCTCAGCCTTGGTACCTGACTGGGCTTTGGGGAGCACCCAGCCCCTGTGTTCCAGTGACTCCTCAGCAGTGTTCCCATCACGACACATATAGCTATCATTGGGCAGAGAGTGTGTCCGGCTGACACCTGACTTCCGCACAGTCAGCAGGTCTGGTCCCAGGGGGACTGGCACCTCCTCAGGGTGGGGTTCCATCTGCAAAAGGATTAGGGGATGGGGTAAAGAGCAAGCATCTGGGTTTGGTAACTGCGTCAGAGCTGGAGAGCAGGAACTAGCCCCTCCCCACCAGGCCAGCAGTCCTCCCCACACCCACCTACACCCACCCCCCGACACCCTCCTAGGCCAAGGTGATGGGCATGAACATGGAGGAGTATGGGAAGACACAGGATAAGTCTCCACACACAGGGAGGAAGGAGTGGAGAGGCCCCACCCTGAGAGCGTGCACATAGGCTCACCAGTGAGCCGCTGAGCTTCCAGGATGGTAGAGGACTAGGAGGGATGGGAGAAGAGAGAGCAGCCCCCAGTACTGCATGAGGGCCTCTTAGAGGCTCTGAAAGTTACCCCCGGGATTAATAAGAGTTAGGCCTGAGTTAAGCTCATGCAGGTTGAATGACAGATGAACACTATGGGCTCTACTTTAACCACATAGAGATATTAGAAGGTGAGGGTGGGTGGCAAGGCCTGGGGACTGTAGACTTCCTCAGCCCTCCCTCAGTGGACAGACTTGGGGTAGGAGTAGGAAAGGTGGTGATAAACCTTGGATCCCAGAGGATAAACCTTGGCTTCCAGAGAGATTTCTCTGTCCTTTGAGACCCCCTTCCCCTGGGCCACCATTCCCAGTCCTCAGGGAGGCTACAGGGCTCCTGTCCTTACATGGGCCTAGTTGGTCATAGTTTCAGCAGGTAGAGGATGGCTATAGGCCTTTTCCTTCTATTCTCTGTCTCAGGACCCATATCTGCCAGCTAGCCACAACCCATAGGGACCCTCCCAGCCTTTGGTCAAGATCCTGCCCCAGCTGGCCCTGCTCTGACAACAGGAGACCAGGGCTGGAGGGGGGGGCTGCTCACTGTTAGAGGGGGCAAAGGGGAGCTGAGGAAGGGAAGGAAGATCAAAGCACCAAGAAGCCCCTCCCTTGAAGCTTGTTGAGGACAGGACACAAGGACAAACAGGGACAGTGACAGGAGACAGGAATAATCCTCAGGGTTGAGGGGGGGCATGGTGGTGGCAGCAGAGGTGTGGTTCTCACCCTGGACACCATAGTGAGTCTCATGGGGGTGGGACAGGAGAAGGGGAGCAGGGAGGGAGGGCTGGCCAGTACAGGGCTCCAAACACAGAGACTGGCTCCCAAGCCACTTCTGTTTTGGCTGTGACATTTCTAGAATAACCCTGTTACCACCACTGTCCTTGTACCCTTCTAGTAAGGCCTCAGTTTTATCTTATCTAATTCTTTTGTCCTCTATGGGGGACATGGGAGAACTCATGCTGGCAAAGGGTGGGGCATCCTGTGCCCACAGGTGAATGCCTCTGGGCAGGATCTGGGGGCAGAGTGGGAGGAGGATCTGGAGCCCTGCAGCCAGCCCAGCCCAGGCTGGGGGAGCAGAAAGGGATGTGTGCATGTACATTGCTCTCCGGGGCACTAAGTAAGAGTGTGTGAGTGTCATCAGGCAAAGAGTCATCCGTCAGAGCTAGAGAGCAGGATGGTTCAGACACAATCTCTGACGTCAGAGACAGAGCCTCCATCTCAGCTAGAGGGATCTAGACAGGAGAGAGATGAGCAGGCATGAGAAATCAGGACACACACTTGACACACTCACAGCCCCCACTTCCCCTTTCCAAAAAGCAGGGGGGGAAGGCATTCCTTTTTGATCCCCACCCCTTGCCAGATAAACCCACAGTGCCTCCCCTCTCCCACTTCAACCCCCTGTTCTGAGAGAGGCTGTGGCAGGCACCAAAGAGCCAGAGCAAACACTGACAAAGCGAAGAGACCAAGGAGAGGCAGAAATACATTCTAAAGATACCCCAGGCACCTTAACAGCCCCCTCCCACACTACCACCACCCAGGAAGAGAGTGGAGGAGCATGGGCTTCCACTCCCATAAAGATGATACCAAACAAAAAAAGAATGAAGAAAGGCCAGCAAAGCCCCGGCTCCTCTCTGCAGACAGAGCAGCATGGGGCGGGGCGCTGGGGACAATGCCACCAATCTTATGGCTGTTTTCTGCCTATTCTCTTCACTTCCAAAAGCCTAGCAGGACTTGGCCTGCCCCCAGATTCTGGCTTCTTCTCTTGTGGGTCCTCCTCCGCCTGCCTGCAGCCCTCTAGCCCTCTCCAATGTGGGCCCTGGGAAGTGTTCTCCCTGCCAGTCTGAAGGGGGTGTATTTGAGCTTCCACACCATCTGGTTGTTACACCTAGGAGCTTCAGGACCTGTGAAGCACTAGGGGGCTGAGTGGTGGTCTGGTGACTAGGTTGTCCTTGTCACCCTCCTATCCCATCCCCCTCTCTCCCACCCCCTTTCCTGTGAGCCCAGTTTAGGATATGAAGCCTGGGGAAAGGATTGGCTGGACTCACTTTCTCACTGATCATTCTAGGTCACTGCCAGGTCTGAGACTGAATCTTAACAAGAGGCACGGGCCCTTACCACGTGAGAATCATTCTTCATTTCCTACCAGCCCAAAGGCTTTCTAGGAGCCTGGGTACCTACTCTTCACCCAGCAGGGCCTGGGAACTAGACTTCTCTATCTTTAGCTGGCACCTGTCTCCTTGACCCACTCCAGGCCCATAGTCTCTGACCTGGGGGAGGTTTGATGGGGTACTAAACCAAGGGGAGGAGAGCAGGGTTGGAGGGGCCCAGAAAGCAACATCTCAGGATGAGCTGGACCTGGGAAGAAGCACCCAACCAAGGTGCTGTGGGAAGAGACGCACTAGGGGAGGAAACCAAGTTCTTTTCACAATGATGTCCCAGAATCCACTTCCATTCCCTCAGGACAAAAATTTCTGCCTGTCAATAGCCCTCATCATGTCCAATGAGCTTCATGCTTACAAAACCACTAGAGGACTGGGGTTGGGTACTGGACACTACAGAAAAAACAGACTGTGGCTTAAGACAACCTCTTCTGTGGGTCCCACAGCCATCTGCACTGCACTCCTTGCCTGAAGAACCTCCTTTATCCCTAAGGTCCCACTGCCCCATCCATTCTCTCTTCCATATTCTTTCTTATGAAGCTTCTCCACCCATCACTCTCCCTTGGAAGGGGGATTTCAGCCTCCCTACCTCCCAGAGTTTGGAGTACCCCTGACTCCCTCCTGTCCGGCCCAGTACTCAACTAAGGCCCTGCATCTGCCTTTTCTCCAGATACCTAGTGAGCAGGAAATACCCCCCAGCTGCCCTGGAAGCATAGCACAGCATGGCACAGCTTGGCATGGTCAGGGGAGGGGGCACAGCACAGGGCACAGTAACCTGTGGGTCGGAGCCGCCGGGACTGGGGGCGGAAGGGAAGGCAGAGGGCTGGCCCCCTGGGCCTGCCAGCTCGTCCATCAGCTTCAGCTCCCCCTCTAGGGAGTCCTGGATCAGCAGGGAGATGGTGTCAAACAGCTGTCTGTCCTGGGAGGACCAGCCCATAAAGGGAGTGGGAGAGCCGGGGGGGGGGGGGTAGAAATGAGAAGTGTCATGGCAGGGGAATGGGGAGGGGTAGAGGGAGAAAGTGGAAGTGAAACCATGCAACACACACACACACACACACACACACACACACACACATAGCAACAGAGACGAGAAAGAGGAGTATTGGGAAAGGGAGGTGTTGGGAAAGAGGGAGGTATAGGACAAAGGAGAGATGGGGGATGAGGATGGGTAGCATCAGAGGGGAAAAGGGAGAGGCAAAGCGAAGAGGAAAGGATAGGAAGATGGAAAGGAATCAAGCAGGTGGAAGAGTGGGTAGGAAAGAGGTTTGGTAATCGGGTAAGGGTGAGAAAGAAACAGGAAGGAAACAGAGAACTTAGCCTTGAACCTAAGAGCCTGGAAGGGGAGGGCCACAACGGGCTAGAGGAGCTAGCTTGTCTGCCTGCCAGTTTGTTGAGGGTGGCCCTTTGCAGTGAATATGGGCAGCCATTCTGGGAAGGGGCAGGTGGCAGCTGGTCCCTCAGTAGCCAGGGAGGAGGAATAAGAGGATGGAGGACAATCCCTGGGGCGTGCTGGGTTCCTGCATACCCCCCAATGAGCTGCTATTTGCCCTGCCCTCCCTGCCTTTCTCCCCTGCCCTTCTCTCACCCCATGGCCCTCTTGAAATGCACTGTTGCTTACCATGGGGTGCTCAAGAGAGAAGCCAGAGGCTGCTCCAGTGTGGGCTGTGGTGAGTGGGGCCCCAGGCTTGGGGCTGTCAGGGCTGTCAGCACCCTCAACCCCAGGCCAGAGGAAGGGGCTGCCCAGTGGGGAGTGGGGCTGCGGGCTGACAGTCTTCATCTCCAGTTCCAGTTCGGCCTCCAGCTCAGCCTCCTCCTTGGCCTCTTTGTTGCTCTCCTCCAGGTGCTTCATCAGCACGGCTATCACCACATTGACCAGCACGAACTGGGCGGTGAGCACAAATGACACGAAGTAGATGGGCGAGATGACCGTGTTGTAGCAGGTAGATTCCTGGTCACAGTCCCGGAGGGTGTCCTGGGGGAGGTGTGGGGGGCAGAGGTGTGAGGCCAGGGAGGACAGTGGATAGAGCTGGCATGGAAATCAGAGCATTGAGGGAGAAGGACCTGGAGGGGGAGGGAAACCAGTGTCCTGGGGACAGAAGAGTATTTGATGCTGCAGGGGGAACTGTAAGTAGGAGTATGTCTTGGGGAGAAGGAGTCCAGAGTATTCTGACAGGGGTGACTAGAGGACATGCTTTTGTTCATGGCTAATTCAGCTTCACAAGGAATCTTGGTTTATAGACTGGAGAGGTCTCTCTGATGTCAGTGCAGCCCTGGGAGGAGCCTTGATCCTGTGAGTTCTTACCTTCATAATTCCATTCCAGTTGTCACCCGTGGAGACTCGGAAGAGGGTCAGGAAGGCCATGCCAAAGTTTCTAAAGGTGGCATGCCGGCCCAGGCCCTCACAAGGGTGTGTTTCATCACACTCTGGGAGAAAGAAGGCAAGGGAGAGAAGCCCGTGTTAGTCTCAGGACCCACTTTGGTCTCTAGCCCTGGCTCCTCCACCATTCCCAAACTCAACTCACCCAGGTCTCCAAAGAGCTCCACTCCCAGAGCTGCAAAGATGAAAAACAACAACATGAAGAGAAGTCCCAGGTTCCCCACCTGGAAAAGAGGAAAAGAAACAGAAAAGGTGCTGCTGGGCCTCCAGTCAGCTTCCCTGAGGTCCCCCCACCCCCACCCGCCCCTTCTGGAGGGTACCTCCTTGTCCCCTTGAGGACCCTTCCTTCCCTCCCACCCCACCTCCCAGCTACCTGGGGCAGGGCCTGCATCACCGTGTCCAGCAGCGCCCGCATGCCCACAGCCATCTTCAGCAGCTTCAGTACTGCAGAACAGAACAGAGTCATGAGCTGGCCCCTCTGGAGCCCTGTCTACACAGCTCTGACAGCCAGACTGGGCTGGTGCTGGTGGGATGACCAGCCTGCACTCTTACCTACTTCCCTTTTGGCAGAGGCTGGGAGAAAACCACCTGAGAACCCACGGCCACCCTCACACCTGAGCCTTGCTATCTCCCCAAGCTGGTCACCATGGGAAGGCAAGCGTGAAGGTAGACAGCCAGACCCACCTCGGGCAATGCGCAGCACCCTCATGATACGGATGATGGTAGGGTTGATTGGTAGTGAGGCATTGACCTCAATCTCCTCCAGCGTGATGCCCATGATGGACAGCAGCACAATGGCCAGGTCCAGCTGGTTCCACCTGGAAAACCAGGAACACAGCACCCTGAATAGGAGATGGGGTATGGGAGAGGGTGCTAAGGTGACACAGAAAGGCAGAACTGGGACGGACCTGTGCTTTTTATTTTTATTCATCATCTTTTTTTTTTTTCTTGATATGTTGTTTCATTATATAGCTCAGACTAGCCTCAAACTCAGGGCAGTCTTCCTGCCTCAGCCTCCCAGCATATTGAGATTGTAAGTTTGAGCCACCATGCTTGGCTTCACCTGACTTTTTAAAGTTTATCGAGCACTTATATAATATTAACTCTATACCAAGCACTGTTTTAAGAGCTTTATAAATAAGATTCACAACTTTGGTATGGATACTATTATCTTCCATTTCACAGATGAGGAAACTGAGGCACAAAGAAGTAACTTACCCAAAGAACCAGTCACTAAGTGGTAGAACCAAGATTCTAATCCAGCCTGGGCAGTATGGCTCCAAGCTCTGTGGCCTTAAACCCCATCTGAGGCCACATTAATTTCTTGCTGCCAAAGCCCTATATGCCCTGCCTTGTCAGATCTGTGCATCTCTCCCATCTTCCAAGCCCTAGATACTTCCTGACCATCATCTGTCCTAGGGTGGGAATTGGACCCCAGGAGTTAAGAAAGGTCTTCAGCCTTTGAGCCAAAGGCCTTCTTCTGGGTATGTCCCCAGGAGACACACCTCTACCTACCCTCAACTCTCTGAGACCGCTCTCCTCTGTTACCTGTCCTGGAAGAACCGACGGAAGCCAAAGGCCACAAGTTTGAAAACGGACTCCAAGACGAAGATGACGGTGAAGATGTAATTGCAGATCTTCAGAGCCTCATCCAGAATCTGGCAGGGGTGAGGGCCAGACATAGGGTCTCCTTAGGTCCAGGGTTGAAGCCTATTTCATCCCTCCATCCATCACTACACCTCCCAAACCTGAGAGGCAGGATAAGCTAAGGGGGCCTTCCTTCCCTGTTGCCACCATGATGGCTGACAACTGGCTTCCACCCCAGGATAGATAGAGCAGGACACTCATTTACATAGCTATTCAAACCTGGTGCCAAAAGATCTCTCTCCTTGAGAGATACTGAGAAGACACATAAGAATGTTCTGGAAGGCACAGAGCACTAAGACTGGAAGGTGTCTTCTATATTACCAGTTCAACTTCCTCATTATACAGATGGGGAAACTGAGGGCTGGAGGGCAGCTGAGAGAGGGTGACTCAAGAAGCAGCAAGATCACAGGTAAGTTTGGGGGCTGGGTCTTTACTAGAGTCTAACTCTAGAAAGCTAAGCTTCAGTCTGCTTTCTTCACCTTCTAAGGTCCAGAGCCACAGATACTAAATACTCAACAAAAATTTCCTGGTTCCTAGCTGTGTGAACTTGGCCAAGCCAATCAACCTTTCTGAACCTCAATGTCCTAATCCATAAAACATGAATATCCACCTCCGAGGAGTACAAGAAGAACCAAGTAGTGTTCCCGATACTTGCCAGGCACACAGAGGTTATAGTTGGGACTGTTGCCTCACATGAGGAAGACCCAAGGCTGGTGGTCCCTCACTTGTTCTTACCTGGGGCTGCTGGTAATGTTCCATGGCCATAGTGACCACATTCAACCCAATGACACCAGTGATGAAGAGGTCCAAATAGTGGCTGGTACATAAGTGATGTACAAGGAGCCGGAAACGTGAGTAGTCCGAATAGTAGGGCTTGCACTGGGCTTCTAGGGGGACAGAAAGGAGAGCAGAGCAAGCATTGGGCCCTGCCCTCCACACCCCTCCACCCACGGCCCTTCCCTGCCGCCAGCCTCTAACCCCAGAGCTGAAACATTCCATGTCACCAGCATCCCAGCCCTCCCCCTCGCTGCCCTTTGCGGGAAGACAGCTATCTTGCCTGTAGCCCTCCAAGCGTCTGTTCTACTGGCTGCAGTCAGGGCAGAATGGGGCAGGACATGCAGAGCCCCTTACCCTCCACCTACATTAGATACTGGGTGAGCCTCTATCCCAGGGCAACCTCTAAAAATCTGCCAGCCCCTTGTAATGCCTTTGACTCTGTGTTCAGCAGTGAGGTGGATCAATGAGATGAAATAGACCCAATCTAATCGGGCTCAGAGGGAGCTCCAGCCACAGAGGCGAAGGCTCTGATGCATTCTCCAAGCTCAGCCCCTAGGGCCACTGAGGAGATTACACAGAACCGGGATTTGTGATAGGACCGGAGATTGGAAATTGGACATCTTGGCTGGCTGCTGATACACTACAGGGGTCTCCAGAGGGCAGTGCCCAGGCCTCCTGCACCCTCATGTGGGGAGGGCAGAGGGGAGGCCCAGGGCTCTGCTCTGTGCCAGAGACAAGCTGGGAAGATGCCACCCACCAGACTCACCCAGTTTCTAATGAAGCAGTACCCAGCCTGCCCTGGGTATTTGGGCAGCCTGACACCGCAGGCTGGGCTGGAAGCACTGTCTGAGATCTGTCACAGGCATAGCACTGCTCTTGTAATTAGCCAACCACTTAGAAAAAAATCACGATGCCAGAACATTAGCCCACCAAGCAGGCAGGAGAAATCTGGGGACAGATTTCAGGGGACCCTCCTCTGGGTGTTGAAGTAAGGGCCAGGCCAAAGTAAGGGCATGCTATCCAGTAGGTGTTAAGGTATTGGTCTCACAGGAAGCCACAGAGAGGGAAGAGTGCTCCCACTGGGGGGCATGGGCAGCCTCAGGTCCCAGACAGCCCTTCTCCTCTCAGGAGGTCTTGGCGGAAGCCAGCCAGTGAAGGCTGCAGCCTCTGAGGCCTGAGCCAGGGACCGGCTGGCTCAGGGGCGGCAGGAAGCTTTGGGCCCAGACCAGCTCAGATACAATCATCCTTTCCCATGCAGAGGACCCTTTCATAGGTAAACTGAGGCAGGGTATGGCCTGGGGTGAGTCCCCACCAAAGGCCAAAGGAAGAAGAGTGCCCAGGAGTGACATGCTCAGCCTTGTGGGCCACTCTGCCCCAGGCTCACCCAGCCCCTCTCCACATCGGCTTTGAGGTGTGGATAACCAGGGGCACAGAGACCCAACAAGGCCAGGTGTACCTCAGGGGTACATGAGGCCATCTCTTTGCTTTCAAGTGTGGCTTTATTTACTCAGGCAGCTTTCCTGACCCTCAAGAGTATAGGGATGGAGAGGCCTGGGGCAGGGGACACCATCAGGCCACAGGTCATCCACACCCGATGGTGGAGGGTAGTCAGGCTAGCCATGGTCTCTTCCTTCCTTCCTTCCTTCCTTCAGTACCACGAGAACCAGAGGGCGCTAGACACCCTGCGTTGCCTTAGCAGCCGGAACTTTTTCTCTGCATTAATCTCCATAAATGACGAGAGCACCCGATCCCATTATGCTAAAATATGAATGGAGAATTAACTAAAATGTTTGAATACAATTAGTTTAGAAGAAGCAGCTTCTTATTAGCCCCATTATTAGCTGAGACAGTGTTGAGGGGAGGCTGGAAGGGAGAGAACCCCCCTCCCCTATTGCCCTAACCTGACTGCATAGGTACCCCAAGGCCAAATAGAGCTTCTGCCACCACCATCTCTGCCTTCCAGCCTTGCTCGAGGAGTCTGAGTGGTGGGTGGGTCCCCATTCAGTCAGGGACCCTCCAAGAGACTCAGAGGAAGATAGGGAAGATGACTGAGGCAGGGCATCTGCTCATGGCCACAGGTCCCAGGCTCCTGGGTGAGTATGAATACCCCTCCACCAGGAGCCCCTCCCCCAGATCAGTAAATATTGAGTCTACCAGAAATCCCCATCCCCCTATTAGAGCACAGGTCTAAAGAGCACCAGGTCAACCAGAGTGGCCTTCCTTTCAGCTGCCCTTTTGCCACATAGAGAGGCCCAACAGAAGGCAAGTGGCCCAGGACATCAAAGGTGAGGCAGCAAAACCCCAGCCTCCAGCCTGAGAAGAGGCCTCAAACTTTCTGCCTCCCACCAGTAGCGACTGCATAAGACAGAGTACAGCTCAGAGTCAGATGATGGGGGAGAGGGTTCTAGGCCCCCAGGGAGGCCCAGGGGCAAAGGAGGGGAGGTGGAGGGGGCTGTGAGTGACAGCAACAGGCATAGTGAGTTAGTGGGTTACAGGGAGCCCAAGGTGCAACCAGGGCTGAGGGCTTGCAAAAGGCAGTGGCAGGGAATGGGCAGAAAGCCCCTATGGCAAAGGCCATGCTGTTGTGGTTCCTGGCCTCGTGGGAGGAAAAGAGGGTTAGTGGGGATGGAGGCCACAGGTGGCTAAGTAGATGGAGCCGGTGCTGGAGGCCAAGTATCACAGGGGCTGGCCTCAACATTCAGCAGAGAGTTTCTCCCTCCAGACCCAAATCTCTGCTCAGGCCCACTGTACTGATAATCAGACTCTTCCCTTCCACCTTTCCCTGACTCCGGTGATACCTTCAACTGGCAGCTAAAGGAGGGTGGATGATGGTGTTCTAGCAGGAAGGGGTGGTGTACATGTTTGGCCCCAGACTAGAGAGTTGACATTAGCCCATCACCCTGGTAGGTAGATGGGTAGATCAGCACTACCAGCATCTGGGAGTAGATTGGAAATTCAGACCCAAGGCCTTTGAGGTGGGACTTTGTGCTTTTTCTTTAGGTGAGTTTAAATTCACATTGCAGTTTAGAGAGCTCTTGTATAGACCCTGAGAAGAAGAATATGAGATGCTCTGAGGCCCTGTTCAGAGTCTGGGTCTTCCTTAACAGCCAGGGAGAGTAATGCCATCAGGAGCAGGCCAGAGTCTCTCTGCTGCCCCCCGACCCCGGCCCCAATGGATGTACAGGATGAGAATAGCCAATGTGTGCCATGGAGTGCATATGACATGCTTTGGAGGCTGAGTCTGCAAGTGCTGATTCAGGGGGCAGCCCCTTGGGTGAAGGAACCTCAGTGGGCCAGCCTTGTGTTAGGGTGGTGTTTTAGGGTTAGGGTATGCATGTGTATGCTTTGGTTTCTACCCCAGTCTGCAGCCCCATGCCTCAGAAGGGCAAAGCTGAGGGCTACTTCCTCCCACCTTTCCCTCATCCCCTAACATGCTAGAGATTTGTAAAATGGCCCAACACAGAGACATGGGGACCCCAGCAATGGAAACAAACCAATCACAGGCTCCTGAGCCCCCGGAGAGATGCCAGTCAATGTTAAACACTACAGCTCAGGACCAACCACGGGGATAGGAGATGAGGACCCTGCCAAGGCTCAGTGTCCCTTGAGCACATCCCTGAGCCCCCACAGACCAGGCAGCCCACACCCCCAGGGTAGCACCTGCCGGAGTCAGACATTGGAGAAGAGTGTGGAATGGTACAGTCAGCGGTTCCCAGACTGAAGTCCCATGCCCTTGGCAGCTGGGAAGGCAGTCACGTGGGGCCTTTGTTCTTACTAATATTTCTCAAAGCTTAAAAGAAATCATATGCTTGCCCACATGAAGACCCCACAGATTAATTTAATGGCCAAACAGTTTTCTTTTGCTATCCTTCAGTGTGTGACCTGCTGCAACTCAGAAGCTCTGACAGGCAATTAAACATGCCTTTGATTAGTAAAAATGGTGAAACAAAGCTATTATCAACGTGCTCCTGCCTTCAGAGTCTTCTAAACTGCGGGACCTGTGGGAGGAGGCCAGAAAGGGGGATCCTGGGACAAATGGCCTGGGAACCACCAGGTGAAAACATCAGGGTGATGTGATGAAGCCCCATGGCCCTGCACAGACTGTGGTCTTCCCAACCTCCATCTGGAGACCAGTAGAAGAGGGCCAGGGGACAGAATGAGGCACAGGGTGAGGGGACAGAATGAGGCACAGGGTGAGGGGCAGGCACTGGGAAGCCTTTCCAGAGACATACACATGGCACTCGGAGGCAAGAACTTAACTTGTTCTCAAACCTCTAGCTTTTGGGGGGAGAAGCTTGTAGCTAACTCAGTCCTTCCATTCCCAATTCCTGCTGTTTGTAGCGATGACGTGGCCACCGTGATTACTTGACTATTAATGAGTTTGTTCAATTATTCATCATCACATTTTTAAAACAAATCCTTTCCCTCACTGTTCCTCCCATCCTGCTCCCCTGGATCAAAGTCTTCCCTTCAGACAAGAGGAGGCAGGGAGATTTGCAGTTTAATAATCAAAGAGGAGAACAGAACAGGGAAGAGGTGGCGGACAGGACAGCAGATCAGCCTGGGACCTCTGCAGAGGACCTGGGTCTCCGAGAGCTGCTGAGCCAGGGGCAGAGGGGCACCAGGCCTGCCTCACCTCCAACCAGCTTAGCAGGGGCCTTTGAGATTGCCCAGACCCAGTGCTTCAGGCCCTGTCCTCATAGGGCCCCCAGGGACCCTCAGCCCTTCACCCCTAGAGGACAGAATCAATGAGCCATCGAGAGGGAACAAAGAGCATGTCCCCACACGCATGAACCCACACCCCAGACGCAGTACCTGACGCAGCGCTGGCTGAGCTGCCGGAAGCAATTACATCGTCCAACATTAGATCTAAAAGAATGAAACACGACATTGGTCATTGACCGGACCAGGTGTGCTGGGCAGGGCCCCTCAGCGGCCTGCTCCCCCTCAGCTCCAACCTCACTCTGCCTACAAATGGTATGTACTGAGCATGGGCAGCTGGTTCCAAAAACCGAGCCTCAAACTGGGAGCACTTGAGGAAGACAAGTGTTTAGCCAACTCTCCAGGGTCACAGGGACAGGGAGGTACTAGAAGGCAACTGTCATCAGAACAGATGTCCACTCCTACCCCTGCTGTGGCCTCAGCTGCACCTGAACAGCTACAGACCCCAGAAGGGGAGCCAGCTGGCCAAGCAGGGGTCACAGTGCCTCCTGCCAAAAGAATCCATCTGCAGATGCCTTGTTGAGGTAGCTCACTGCAAGAGGTGTGGGGTGGATGGAGCAGGGGTGGGAGCTTGACGCTGGGGACAGGGCACCTGCTCAGCTTGATTCCACAGGGAAGCTGAGACCAGACCCCAACCCAGAGCTGGGTAGGGGGTTCACCAGGGATGGTGGGTGGATGTGAGACATGGAACTACATCACCCTTGGCTACCTGGAGGCCAGAGTACCCTGCATATCCTCTTGTATCAGGCCCTGCTGTGTCCCACCCCCAATTGGTAACTCCCACATTCTCTCTCTCCTTCACGTGCCTGTCATAGGCAGCAGGAGATGCCTGAGGGCACAGAGAGGCAGGGGCACTGAGCCCCTAACTCATTTGGTGGTACTCACATTTCCACACACCAAAGGGAAACTCAGAGCACTACAGACATCTGATTGGTGGAAGGCAGGCAATTTGTGAGGGTGGAGAGGAGGGAAACCCACAGACCAAACAGGGAGAGACACAGGGAGACACACAAAGGCTTTGAAACCCACACAGAGAGACACGTGGTAGGATGTGGGCTGTGACTGAGAGAGAGAGAGAGAGAGAGAGAGGCACAGAGATGATGGAGCACCAGACAAACAGGAGCGCCGAAGTTGGGAGCCAGGTGCACACACACCTGCACACATGACAGAAACAAAGCAGCTAGCGCTGCGGCTGTTCTCCCTCCCTCCCAACTCTGAGCGTCTTTCCTGTGAGTCTCAGACTGCCTGTGGCAAAGAGCAGGAAGGAGAAAGGCATGAGGAGTACCTGCCCTGTGAGAGAGCTACTGGGAGCACAGGTGAGGGCCTGGCAGGTCTAAGGCCAGAGAGTGGCATTTATTGTTCCTGTTCATGTGACCTCGGACCTTCCCAGAGAAGGGAAGATTCCTTTCCTTCTTTTTCTCCCTCCCTATTTCCTTTCCTTTGTTTTGCCTTTTAAAAATATTTTATTTATTATTTCTCTGTATATGAGTGTATTGCCTGCATGTATGTAAGTGCACCTGTGTCGTGCAATGCCAGTGGAGGTCAGAAGAGGGCATTGGATCCCCTGGAACTGGAGTTATAGATGGTTGTTAGCCATCACGTGGGTGCTGGGAATTGTACCCAGGTCCTCTGCAAGAGCAGCCAGTGCTCTCAATCACTGAACCATCACTCTAGCCCGTTTTGAGTTTTTGTGACAAGGTCTAATTATACATCCCAAGCTGGCCTCAAACTCACTATATAAGCCCAGGCTAACCTTGAACCTATGGTCCTTCTGCCTCTGCCTCCTGAATACTTGGATTACAGGCTTGTGCCATCATGCCTGACTTTTATTTTTTGGCAAGAAAACCTCCAGTCATAAGGGAGCCCAGATAGTTTTGTTGGAGAAAGGAAGGGTGTGGGTCTGGGGTCCTTTCTCAGCCGTTGTCCCTCTGAAGGTTTGACTGAGCCCTGGCTTAGTGGCTATGGAGTCTGAGGAGGTATAGGGGCCGGGATACTTGCTGGGCCAATCTCTGGCTCATTGAACACCAGTACAGGGTGGTGTAGTGTCAGGTCAGGTGTCTGAGAGACAGCTGATCCTCTGAGCATCAACTCCGGACTGCCACTCTATAGGGAGTATGTGGCTGAGAACCAGGGAGCCCCCTAGGTCAGCTCCTTCCTTATGGGGCTGACCTGGTCTGCTTCATGCGGGCTCTAAAGGCGGACATGCTGTTGGCGGGGGGGGGGGGGG